CGCGTACATTTTTCTAACACTCGTGTTAACCTTATTATTATTATTTAGTGTTGTGTCTGACGACAGGTCCATATGAACAGGATCCTTCCGTCCTTTTCTCGGACTGGGACCTGTTCATATACGTTCTTGGCAGATGATCCAGAAGTGGTTTGCCATTGCCTTCTTCTGTGTGTGGATGGAGTAATTGTTGGGATGCCACGGAGAAACCGGGGAAGCCCCCGGAGGAAAACTCCGTGTTGCCTAGACCTGCATAACAATAAACAATTCCCTGACATAACAAAATACATCTTATTTATTCATAGTTTATTTAACGACGTTTTATAATAGATCAGACTACAGCGTTGAATATACGTCTTGTTAATATAGACTCTCAGCGACTTGAGTTAGTTTACAAATAGAACTTAGTGTGTGACAAACCGACGTTTAACACTTGAATATACGTTTATTTGATTTAGCTGATGGAAGAAACTTACATGAGTTGAAAAATTACATATTATCAAATGAATGAAGCTTAGAATCCTTTTTGGGAAGGGAACAGGGTGTCTTTTGGTCAATATATTACCCACCTTTTATGAAACGCTAAGGTTCCTTACCATTTTAAAAACGCCCGTCAGTGGATCCCATTCTGAGCCAGCTGTATGTATCCCCCACAATTTGTCTTATGTAAATTAATTTAATATTATCGTGCTGAATGGGTTCCTTGTAGCAACTGTTACCGGCTCTCGGCTGGAACTGCATTACTCAACGTCAACCGCTACGAGGGTTTCCCGATACGAGTCAAGAATCTCTCCATAAAACAATAAAATTAAGTGACTTGTTTGCCGTAGTTTATGCTAGAATCCGGGAAGTGACAGTTGCGTTCAACTTCATCAGTGAATGTAATATTAATTGAAATATTTCTATTGGGTTGATCAAATCAAGTAGGATGAAATAGAAGCATGGAACAGAAGAAAAATACATATAAAATTTTAGTCGAAAAAAGGGAATAATGTAACGGATGTAAAATAAATATGGTATCGGGATTTGTTCTCGTGTCACGTGGCTCAAGATAGGGTACATCGGCGATCGTCTCTGAAGACGCTGATACATCTTTGTTTTGTGTTTAAGACGGGGAATTTGTCTTCCATTTTGAATTTCAAATATAAAGAGGGACCCTGGTCCGCTGGGGAAGATACAGGATATTCTGTTTAAAACCGCAATCCTGACTACTACAAATGAAACCTTTCACGCGCAAAAAGAGACCAATGATATTGTTGAATTCTTGCAGCCGTATCCTATCGTTGCAGTTGATTCACTGCTTGAAATGTGTACGGCCGTAATTTTAGCCGCATTGCCACGTGGCTCAATGGTCAATGCGTCAGATGGTTTCGTTGCGAGTAGCGCTCTAGCAATTTGGTGACCTTGACTCTAGTATCACGGGGGAGTGGACCTGCTTCTGATTTCATTGTTGGTGTGGTGGTATTTGTTGTTGGTCTTACATTATTTATTTTCCTTGGTACTTGGTCTTCACCTTGAGGGTGGGTCATTTACCTAGGAAATGGTATTTCGAGGCCTGAATATTATCACCCTTTCGTAGCTTAATTTGTTGGTGTGATCTTTAAATTTGCTTAGCACACATTTCGTCTGAGTCCCTAACTTCGACCCCTCAGGTTCATATCGTTTTAATTCTACATGTCTGCACGCCACTGTTTTGGTTTTCCGTGTACGTGGGTGTAACGATTCCTGGCATTAGTGAGAATCGCGTGGTCTGCTACTAGGCAACCATCTACACGAAGGTCTCAAGTTCTGAAGACCGTGTATTGTTGAACTCCACTCTTATGTTTTCATATAATGGAGTTATTTGAGTCTACCTGACGTCTTGGCCATTTTTATTCCAGAACTTTGTTTACGATCCGATGTATTTCGTATGTTTTTTAAACGGAAATCTCTCCTAGTGTTTGTGGATATAAAGTGATACCGTGCATTTCCACTCTGAAGTTGAAATTTACGTTGTATAAATTTGTTCACTGGAATTCAGACATGTAGTCTGCATCGTTCTTATGTGAAAGACCACGAGGCCGTTACATAAGTTTGCTTATTTTTGTTCTTTATATTCTACGAAGTTTATGGAGACGATATTAGAATTATTATGGTCTGTGAACACAAAGGAATAGTTAGAAGTACTCACTACCAATTCTCTCAGCAACCGTTTGCCAAAAGCGGTCTTATAAATAAATATGACAATGGTAATATTGTAAAACGTTAGATGGCCGGGGTTAAGTAGCGCGCGTGGAGAGATGAGAAAAATACATACGACTGTTTCGTTGGGAAGCCTGAAGGGGAAAGACAACTAATATGAAATAGACATCGATAAACGGATAATATTAAAGTGGATATTGGGAAAATAGGATTGGAGGATGTGCATTGGGTTTATCTGGCTTAGAATAAGGACCGATGTTGGGCTTTTGTGAACATGGTAATGATCTTTCGGTTTCAAAAGAGATGGGAAAATTCTTGACCAGCTGAGAAACTATTGCAGCGACCAGAAATACGATAAATTGAAGACGAATGTCAAACCGCGTGTTCACCCACATACATTATCGTATTTTATTTACTTTTTCCTTTTTCTTTCATATTTTGATTACTCAGTCCCTTATTGTTTTCTTATTTTTATTGCACGACTTTCTCCTTTGCCTTACGTCTTTATTTATTTATATTCTTACATTCATTTGTTTCTTTCTTTACTTTTGTTTCTTTACCTTTCTTATACCCCACATTATTTTTATTTTATTTTCGAATCTCTTTATTTATTCCAACACTTTATTCTTTATTTGTCTCTGAAGCTGTATCTTTCTTCTGCGTTACCTCTTGTATTTTCATGAGTCACTGCAACTCCAGATGTCGATTTAGTCTGTCACACACACTTTTTATAGACTCTTGCCTGCGTCTTGTTTGTTGGTCGGCGAGGTTCAATAAAACATCCTTTGATTTGGTTTTCTCCCTTTGCTAATTTTATCTGACTGCTGTTGTCTTACAAAGAGTTGTTTAAGAATTTGCCTGACGAATTATGCCATGACCTCGGGGGGGGGGGATCTTATTTGTATCTTGCTACAAATGAAAACATTGAATTGAAACGTTTTCAGTAAAATACGCGCGGCTACGTCGGACCTGCGTGGGATCTCTCTCTCTCTCTCTCTCTCTCTCTCTCCTGTTACACTACTTTTAAACACAAGAACATCTGTATTTATCCAAAGGATTTGTCTATTTCTGTTCAAGCCTAAATTAAAAAGGCATCAAACTACAACTTTATATGCTGTTTTATATCGGTGTTAAACTTAT